TTTAAAATACACTAGAGACTTCCGGTTTGCGGCATTCTTTTCTAAATCTATTGCAGAATAAGACACTTTATTAGAAAATATGTCATTACATTTAAAATTTTTGAGAAATCATCAATAATTAGTGACAATTACAAAAAGCGACATCTGGTGGTTTGTTGAGGAATTTGCCAGAATATTTAAAATCGTATTCTTATTCTACCTTGAATTACCTATCAAACGATCAAAAGTTTATTTGAATCGGATAAGACAAACCGAAGTTATGGTGATTTTTGTATACCGTTTTTCTTTTGTTTTTGTTGTCGTTGTTTGAAGAGTTAGAACAAAAAGTGTTATACAAAAGTTTTAGGTATTGACTAGGATATGCAGAATACTTTAAAAAATACCTACGTTTGTATTTGACTTTTTCAAGAAAAAGGAGTTTTTAAATTTTCAATCTGTATTACGCCACCTAGCGGTCATTTTAGGAACTTGAAAATATTTTAGTTGAATTTTTCTTGACTGCTTTACACAAGATAGTTTTTTTCCTAAAACTGTGGGACCAATAGTTTCTGAGATAAAGCCGGTCGATAGGCTTAATGGGACACCCGGTATATTTATATAAAGCAATACATTGAGAATTCGCATTCTCTATGTGATGAGAATATTTACTCTTTTTCAGTTAATTCAATAGAAAACAACTACTTTCCTGGCTATATGCCACGACGAACATTGAATTATATATATTGAACACACACGATAAGAGTTTGAAAATAAAATATAAAAATTTCTGAAATTGAGAATTTAGTTGTATTATATAGAGATGAAAATTGTGTATATCATGAAGAATGGCTGTAAGAATAAGTGGACATCATGGTTACTGATGAGGATTCAGAGATCCGAAATGGGTTCTTTGTAATAAAGTCATATAACCTGTGTGTGAGAGATAATATTTCCCATATCACTGATATGAATGATTATTTTTGGACGTTTTCAAGCTCATCAAGATCAGAGTTCATGCCAGTATACTACTCCTATACATTCCAATTTTCATTTCAATGCTGAATATATTGGTAAGTCATATTTCTAGATCATTATTCATCATATTATTCATCCGATTTGAAGAAGAATGTCAATTCTCAATTTCGGAGGATTTTATTCTTTATTTTTCATGTTCCCCTTTTGAATGTTCATCAGATATAATTCAATGTTCGACGTGGCAAATAGCCAGGAAAGTAGTTGTTTTCTGTTGAATATTCAGAATGATGTGTGTATATACATATTTTTGTCTGAAGGAGAATGCAAATTCTCAATTTCAGAAATTTTTATATTTTATTTTCAAACTCTTATCGTGTGTGTTCAATAGATATAATTCAATGTTCGTCGTGGCATATAGCCAGGAAAGTAGTTGTTTTCTATTGAATTAACTGAAAAAGAGTAAATATTCTCATCACATAGAGAATGCGAATTCTCAATGTATTGCTTTATATAAATATATATCCATTTTTGTATGTTCATAATTTATCTGAGAATATTCCTTTTCAACACTAAAGAGGTATGTTAACTATGAAGGAGTCAAAAATAACCTAAAACAGATAGAAGTGGGAATATGAAGAAAACTTGGAAGACTATGAATTCTATCATTACTAATACAGAAACAGATGTTCCCATTCATGTACATTGCCTAAAAATCAATAATGATATGATTACTGGCCCTGTCAAAATACGTTATGAAATGAACAATCATCACGTTACTGTAAAGGTACTGTGAAATAAATAAGCAAGTAAAATACCCTACCAACACTTAGATATCTCGTTGGAGAGGCAAGTATGCCAAAGAATATTCCTTGAACCAGTTACACCAATTGAGGTGAAAAATCTGATTGAAGATTTGGACGCCAACAAAGCAACAGGATGCGATGATATAAATGTTCATTTTATAAAAAAGTGCAAAAGTGAATTGGCAGAAGTTTTATGCCATGTGATTGATGTCTCGCTTGTTAGTGGTGAAGTGCTGGAGCTAATGAAGATAGCATGTTTAACGCCCCATTTCAAAGATGGTGACTGTGAAATTCCGGAAAATTACAGACCCATATCTATGTTGCCAATTTAATCGAAAATCATTGAAAACATTTTGAACACTCGAATGTTTAACTCCCTGCATAAACAGGATATTTTGTATTCTCAGCAGTTACCATAGCTGAAAATCAAAATTAACTTGATAATAAATCTAAAGCATCACTCGTTTCATTGGACCTGCGAAAGGCATTCGATACTGTTGATCACAAAATTTTACTACGAAAACTGAAAATGATGGGTATTAGGGCCACATGTTATAACTGGCTGAATAATTACCTGTTGAATAGGAAACAATGTGTATTCCTGAACGGTGGTACCAGTTCAAGCATGGTTGTATTTTGTGGGGTTCCACAAAGCTCAATTCTGGGCCCAACTCTATTTCCGATTTATGTAAACTTAATGGCAGACCTAGATCTGAAGGGAAGGATGAAATTGTATGCAGATGACACATTATCAATTTATTTTGGTGACACAAAGGAGTCCATAAAAAAATCTATTGAACATGATTAGAAATTAATAGCAAACTGGCCAATAACACATAAGCTAACTCTCAATACGGATAAATCTAGTTATGTTGATATCCAAACGAAAAGCTGTTCATGATGACACTCAAATTATTTTGAATAACCAGACCCTGAAATATTCTGCAACCATCAAGTATCTTGGTATCTATATTGATTGATGAAAACCTGTCATGGGAATTCCATATCAACAATCTTATAAAAAAAATACGAGCACCAATAGGCATACCGAAAAGACTCAGCTATTGTCTTTCTGAACATTTATTGAGATCAGTATACTATACCTCAATTCATTGTCATCTGCAATATCTAACCTGATTTGGTATCCAACATGTGGAAAAATCATAAAACCTCTTAAAATATTGCAAAATAAGACCATCAAGAAAATTTATTCACTTCCTTCCAGATACAGTACAGTTGATCTTATCTATATCTATATCTTGTAATATTCTTAATCTAGCTAAGATATATGATTATCTGGTTTGTCTGTACATTCACCAGGTAAAAAGTAAAGCACGTCACTCCAATTTGATATTCAACACAAGAAGTCAAATACAAAAGTATGAAACAAAAAATAACTAGCATGCTCAACTTGTTCGTTGTGATCAAAAGCAATCTTAGGTTATATAAACCTGTCTCTATCATATATCAATAACAATATCGTTCCAACTACAGAAATACCTGTGGCAAGAGAATAATGAGAATTAAGAAGCTCAATGATATCACGTTATCAGATTTCAATGGTCAGATTTAAACTTATGCAATTTATTTTTCATACTCCTATCCGCAGGAAGAAATCTGATTCCAAGAATATCCACTGAAAACTGATGATGCATTTCATATTTCAGGAGTACCTCGCAGCGAAGGAATACTACCCACTTAGATATAGATAACACATACCAGCCAGTATGCAGTCACTCTGAGAAGTTTCATTATAAAAGAAGAGAGAGGTTAAGATATAATTGTGTCATTCATAAAATTGTTTCCTTGCAATCTGGTATGTATCTGATTCATATAATATGACGAGATGATTATATTACAAAAGAGAGTTGCTTCAACATTCTTATCCATATTGGACCCCTAAAACCCCACCCAGACCCCTACCCCTGCCTGGATTTTATATAACCAATGTCGATAATTGGCAATAAACGTCCCATCATTTATATATATGCTAGGCTTGCTATGGAAAACTCAATGTGTGGATTATGTTGTTGCCTTTTGCCGGGTACTGCATATAAGTCCCGCATATGGGACCATTTACTGGACCGCTTATGTCAGTCATGGGGAAAATATATCAGGCCATTAATGTCCTATATCAAAATGTTTGCTAGTTTCATAGATAGTCTAGTAAAGCAACAGTTATTACTTCATAATTTCCAAATCAGAATATTCCGGAAGAGGTACACAATATCGAGTTTTACAAAGATTACCTTTTTGCTTTGAAAATGGATGACGTTCAAGTTCACCAAATATTTGGAATAGGAAATCAAAGCTCAAAAACGGTATGTTCAAAACTACTTCGTACAAACCGTGTCAGATATGAAAACAAATTCATGTGATGTGTCATCTCCCAATACATAATCATACAATATTGCCAGTAACTCATCCGACATAATCGTGAATAATGTGTATACACATTGTTTTTTCAACCATTTGCATCTTGAAAACGGATGCCGTTAACCAATTTCGCAGTGTTCTACCGATCCTAGTAACGTATCCACCTTTTTTTGGAAAACACCCTGTTCATGGGTTCACTATCTCCAGCATAATCCATTGAGTACTCGATTTAATAGTCAATGCTGAAGACGATTTAATCGACGTAATATGTTTCATTCTAATGTTGACATGTAATTTGACACTTCTCAAAACTGACAGGAGTTTTCGTCTCACTTCGCGTAACCAGTTGCATAAATAGGTTTTTTTTTTTTCTAATTTTAACATGTAATATGACACTTTTCAAAACTGACGTAAGTTTTGAAACGTCCTACTTCACGTTACCAGTTGCCTAAAGTGAAATATTACATAACTGGTGATATGTTCATTCCAACAGCAGTAACAAAATAAAAATATAAATGGACGAAGATGAAATTGCATTTTGTACTGCTCCCGTGATATCACTTGGTAAATCTGAATTTGAATCAGCCAATTTTCACTGTTGAAAATATCAAACAGGCCTATTTCGTGAATTTCGTCACTGATTCGTGTCCATATTTTTGTTTGACGGATACTTCAAAGTGACGGGCAAAGTCAACTGCTACTATTTTTTGTACAAAATTGGTAAAACTAATGTAGAACTGATCACTCTTTTTGTTCGAGCGTAATTTTTCATAAAAATTATGAAAAATATCGTACACAACTACTTAGGGAATAACTAGCAAATAAATAGATATGGAACATTTACAATGAAAGGCGACCTACACTTACCTGTAAATAAGCTGCTGTAGTAAATTTCTTATCACAAGTAACACACGTGAACTTTTCTCCGGTGTGTTTCATCATATGAGACTGTAGTTCCGAGGCATAATTACAAACCTTGAAGCAAACGGTACACTTGTAAGGCTGTTTTCCTGTGTGTTCACGCATGTGGACTGTTAACTGAGAAGAATGGCTGAATTTTGCATTACACATTTTACAGTTCACCTGTGGAATGAAGTTAACTATTAATTGATGAATTGATAGTTATTATCGAAATTATTGATCACCAAGAAGGTAGTGGATTTTCATAAACTTTATAAGTGAAGATTGAGAGCCAATAAACATTCATACCCTTGACGTTGAAAACATTCTAGAAAATTGCAAGATGAATATTTATGCAACGAAAAATATCATTCCAATGAAATTTGAATATAAGAATTAAATGTTGAATTCCTCATGAGAATTAGCCTCTTTATAGCTTATATTCGATTGAGATACCATTATGTATAATAATGACAATATACATTAACAATTCATAATATCCAGGGTGAAATAAAAATATAATACATATAACAGGCTTGAATTATGTATATGGATCAACATCAAGTTTTCGACAAGACTCATATTCCCGAACAAAGTTCTACACTGTAGTAATTATTGTGACATCGTTCAAAAATTCAAATTGGATTATACCTATACTGCCGTCGTATCGAAGAGGACCGTATCAGCATATTTCATGGTTTTGGGGTTAGATGTCAGCCAAACAGAATCGAGTAGGAGAAATCGATTTTTCTAGCTCAAAATGTCATGTCTGTATCGACCAAACCTGAAAATACACTTAGATTTTTTTCAAAATTACGTCATAAGGGAGTATTTGTATATTGAATTACCGTAACAGACATTTGAAGGTGGAAAAACAGTTTATGGTTATTTACCATGTTATAAATAAGCTGATCACACGAGTTGATAATCTCATCCCATTTCAGCTTAAGGAATCGTATCACAAATTCCTCACTTATAACACCGTATCTACTATCGATGCGGCATTATTAGTTACCATTGAATGTGTGAAGCTGTCAAGCACTGTCAAGATACGGTTCTTTTAAAACTTGCAAAGCGCGAGAAGTCGCTAGTGAATGGGTGAAAATGTAAAGTATAGTTGATTACCTATTGATATTGAATGAATTGGCATTTTGTACTCCATAAGACCTGGAAAATGTATGTCAAGCGGAGATCTAAAGATTCAACAAGGGCTCCTTCACGGCGAAATGAAACTATATTTTATTACCTCAAAAGCGAGGTAAGTGAAGTCCACCAGGTGTGTAAGGTATTTTTTTTAATGACAATAACGTTCACAAAAAAAAACATACCATCGTAAAACACGTTTTGAGTCATAACGAATCTGATGTTGCGGTTTCTAAAGACATGAGGAGTGAACACGCCAAACATGTGAAGTTTGATAAAGAACTGTCACGTAATCATGTGCAATGTTTTCATCCATGTGTGTCCGAATATAGACGCGAGCATGCTCCTAATAGATTATATTTGCCCTCGAATGTCACTAGAAAAGAAATGCACGATGACTTTGCGAAAGAGTTTCCTGGTTTAAAATGTTCTTATGAACTGTACCGACATGTTGTTGTTGTTAAACTGCATGATGTTTCACATCCACGTGAAAATTTGAGTCCAAACTGTTGAGTTTCCTGGCAAGTTCATGGAAAAAGATGCACGAAAGGTCGTGAAGCATATAAAGAAGATGTTGAAAGAAGTAAGACATTATTTTATTCAGCTGATTTGGAGAAGGTTATAATGTTACCACGCCTGGAGATGTTCAAATTAGTAATTTTTACCCCAGGGTTGGAGTCAATTCGAAACATAAGCCTGTTGCCACTATTTGGCACGAAACTGTCGCGGGAAGAAAGAAAGGGATTCTGAAAGATTGTTGTTTGGCTTAATAGCTGCAGTGCCAGAAATGAGAACTGGACCTTGATGTCTTTCCTCATTTATATTATCAACTCAGCAGAAATCGAGACTGAAGATATTTGCTTTAAATTTTTCGAAAAATGTCCGCATTCATCACCAAGTTGATATGGCATTGAAGGCGAACAAAATAGGTTTATGATTTTCCTGATTTTCGTGATTGCATCAAATCTGCCAATTCTGGTCGGGTCTTGGTGAACGATATGCGCATTGAAGATTTCTCCCTTTGGACAGATCATGCGTTGCGTCTCAGACAGCACTGAAAAAGATGAACCCTAGACTCTATCTTTCAGATATAACGGAAGTAAAGGTAGTCAGTGGATCCCGGAAATCGTTGTACAAAAAGGAATTTGAAGATCATAGTAGGGAAATGAGACTTCTTACAAAAAAAGGAATTCCGAAGTCACCATCAGTAAAAAACTTCCGAGGGATATATTCCCAAACATCTGAAAGAACTTTCAGGTATCAAGCCTGCTTCCAGGTTTGATTTTTGAGATAATTTACCATTGTCCGACTCAGCAACAGACCTTATTACCCATTTCCAGTGAAAAAGAATACTTTGTTCATGGTATTTTTCTTCCATAATTACTTTTGCTGTTCTGAATGTTAAATACCTTGTTCATGATTGAAATATGTTTCTCTAATTCTTCTCTCAATTTAGCTTAGATAACCGTATGTGCATTTAATATGCTTTTGAACTCAATTTTTTTGCATCTATCCAATCTCGATTCATTCATCGTCATCTACAACCTTGAAATCGACCAAAATCACAGAACGTGCTACCTATTTTTGAAAAAGTATCAATGTTATGCGAAGATTACTCCAGGCAGTGTTTTTGCAGATACGGTTCTCTTCATTTCCACGGCAGTATTGAAAGGTAATTTTTCTTTCGGAATATAATACAAACGTATACTAGATAAAGTAGGCACTTTTCTGCATGATGATCATTGATTAGCCTGATATGTTGATAATGAAAACTCTTCAAGACTGAAAGAATCACATCAGAACTTCTTTGTGAAGAATGAATCGGTGATACAATCAGAGGTCGAGAAATTCTAATGAAGGTTTTTCAAATTGTCCTTCCGATTTCACTTGTACGTTAAAATGTTGGGAGAATATGGAATTATTAATCTCCAACCCTCATCAATAGAGATGTCATCAAAATAATTTACCTATTCGGAATTCCAAACTCAATTGCATTGCACCAATATTGGTTCCCGATATTTGAGAGTGCAATTTTATTATTTGAGAGGAAAGTTTGGAGGTTTTGAAAATAATAAAGCACTTTCAACTCAAACATCATGAAATGCTTATGTCTACAAATACTATTGGAAGACCGCAAAAAATCGATATAAAATAAATTGCTAACAAAAAATATCTGCAGTGGTGCAAAGATGTTATTTCTGAAAATTTGAGGGGAAATGTATTTCGGGCATATTCCGAGGAGAGATCTTTTTGGTCTAATTATTCAATGACTAGGAATCTGTTATTTTTAGAGAAGAATCAAGATATTAACAAACATTATAGAAGGATAAGGTTACCAGGCCAAAAACTCCAAGATTTTGACAAAAGACTATATCGAACAATTTCTGAGGAATGCACAAGACGATAATCATCTCATGGTAAAATTAGCAGTTATATTTGGTACATTAGAGTCTTGCCGTAGGAAAGAGCTGTGTTACTTGACACTCGAAAACATTGAAGATATGGAAAGTACGTTATTAGGTACTCAACTTCGCCGGATTTTTCTCAAAATCAAGGATCCCAAATAGACACACAATTCAGTCGATATCAACACGTTTGATAAAATGCATTTATATATATATATATACTTGAATTCTTGGAGCTGTCCAATTTGAAGCCCTAAACTGGGCATTGTTTTCTTCGCTTTTCGGACACTTTATTGGTAGATGGTGGTACCAGTCTGACAACAGTTACGCAACATGGGAGATGGAAATCTTCGCCAGTAAAAGGTTATATTGGGAATTCATTGGAAAACGAAGATTTCCAAAAAACTTTATACAATCTCCGATATTACTGTTTCCGGCTCATCTACAAGTTTAGTATGGAGAGCAAAAATAATATCGTCATTGGTGAAACTTAAGAAGGTATTAACATTATGGCTGTTCACAGTGTAAAATATATATCAATGTTAATACAATAATTGTTGTATTTTGAATAATGATCTAGTCAGACCAGAAACCGACAAAGTTTTCAATTCTGCAATTTTGCATCATTCTACTACTTCTCTACTATTCATTTCTATTTCGAATACCAATTTTGTCGGGCTCCGTTCTTTCTACCTTATGAGAAAAGCAGCCGAGTAGCCGACACATCTTTGCGCCATTGGAGACGGTGTAAGTAGTTTTTGATGTAAGGGTCCGAGTTGGCATACATTTCGTAATAATGTTTTTCCACAAATAGCTATAGAGCCTATCTTTATTCACTATTCCTCAAGAGTGTGTGTGTAGTAAAGTGTGTTTTTTCTACCAAGGTAGTTTTCGTCATTTTATGAACTACTACTCAATGAAGACATACCCACCTCTGTTATGGTTAACCAGAATTCACTGTTCTGATGCGAGATTCGTAGAAATGGCACTCGAATCTAGTGGGTGTTCATCAATAACGACTTGCCATATCATGCTGTCATGGTCATTGCTACTAGTTTATAATTAGAATTGTAGAAGGGCTTTCATAGTGCCAATAGATCCATATTTCAGTTTCACAGAACTACGCTTGGAATATATTGCTGGTGGTGAAAAAAATTGTATGTACATTTTGGTAGTAGAATATTATTACCACGGGACCTTATACCACTCGGCTGAAGCCTCGGGATATATAATCTTGGTCTCTGGGTAATAATGATATTCTTCACTACCTTGGTGTATAAATAACTATTTTTCCGAGTTATTTTTGGGATTCACGGGCCGAAACTTGGTAGTTATATAAGAACATCTTTCTGGGGATATAGTACAATATCGATAATTGTATGAAGCAAAATCATTTTGATCTCTACAGGATGTTTTTTGAACGTGGAGCTACAAAATTGATTATTTTCTCAAATGGAGCACGTTGCATTTTTTTATATATTTCGATGTATCGTTATCTTGGGTTCGGGCGAGAGAGAAGCTTTAGCGGACTGTGTTCGAGTTTGAAAAAAAAACACTTATTATTTGCAAATTGCGGCATCATTTTAATTATAGCCTCAATGCCCTCGCCTCTCTCCGAGAAAGACTTGCGCAGAA